TCATAATCTTTTTAAATTTTTATATAAATGCAAGTCCTCATACATATGTAGTGAACATATGCTTCATAAGAAGAAACATGGCTGCATCTACATACTAGGAGGATATCATAAAAATTCCACGTCTTTACATGGATACAATTTGCCATATGAAGTGATTTTATTTCACTTTATCACAAATACCGATTTGTAACCTATACAATTTCATATCTTTTGGTGTTTCAACTCTAGGTCCATTTCTTCCACGTTTTTCAAAAATATTCAATTTTATTGGATTGCCTCTTCCAATTTGGCCAATCTTTCTTTACATTATCGACAATCATAATAAAACGTGGATCAATATCATCATAGCCCTTTACAACTTTAGTACGTACTATATATAAACAATATCATTGATGACCATCAATTTATAAGCCCACATTTCACTTTATGCATGCATAAGATATATAGACATTTTCATAGTCACTGGGTACCCATGCCTCTTCAAGGGCTTTCATTGTTTTCTAATGGACTTATGTCTTCTTATAAGACTGTATCTCTTCTAAGATTAAATATATAGGAAATGTGGATATTTCATATAGTATTATATTATTTGGGCTGCATGGACCTTTTAATATAGTCTCAACTTCAATGGAGCCAATTGTACACTACTTAGGCACACAACTAGATAAGATCATTTGCCACCACTTTAGATTGCCTAATTAGGACATCAACATTTTGTTGTGATTTGTCACTTCAGCTGTGTTTTTAATTGCTTCTAGCATTTGACTTGCAATCTTCTAGATTGCGATTTCTTTCATACCTTACTTTTACATTAGGTGGCACAAAATTTTGTTGAAACAATAATGAATGCATTTCATAGCAATTCATGTCGTTCTTCAGGAACAAACTTTTCTCCCCCTAACAACGGGAAATTGGTCTCATCAAAATAATGCTATTTGATTGGAGTGGTAAGTGTTGTCCTTCATGGACCAAATATAAATAATATAAAGATGATAACGTGAAACAAAATCTTCAGGTTCGCTCAATATATAGTGTAACATAAATACCATGGTCTCCAAAACTATTCAATAAAAAAAAAATCAAATTCACATCATAAATTATTACAGATCAAAAAACTTCTGGTTCTTATCAGAAAATAATATGCTTCTGGCATGAGACCATAAGTATTGGTCATGTTTATTCATAATTTCAACATTAACTCCATTGTGTGTATGTATGAAGCTATGTAAGTTTCTTATGGAACTAAGTAATATCAAACATTGTAAGTATATAATTTGACCTGTCAATAGCTTTTGGTCAGGTTTGCAGAACCTACTATGATATTTACCAAAATGAGTGGTAATTAAACTCAAAAATGATTTTCAACTCAAATAGTTGTGTTTGTTGTTTCACTAACAATAAACATCATAATTCTTGGAGGCTTTGTCATACAAGACCCTCCCTTTATACTATTTAACTTCAAAAATATTTCACTTCCAGGATAATCTGTAAGTGACATTTGTTTCCAAAAAGGATATAGAGCTTACATTCGCTTCATGAAATTATGTAATGCTTATATTTCTTCAGGAAATAATAGATCCAATCATATGAAATTCGTGGATGCATAATAAAGACTTTCTATTTACCAACAATTGAAACACATCATATTTTCCATATTTTTGCTGCTGGAGCACCTGGAACATGAAAGGATAAATTTATTCCTTTATGCTCTTCCACATTACAATCCTACTTGATTCTGAACTTCAGGTTCAATTAACATTTTGTATATGTTATGCCAGAACTGCAGGTTCATATTAATATTAATCTCAATAGACAATTATGAACTTTGGATATATATTAACGTATATCTAAAATTTCAGGTTCGGGTGCCTATATCAAATTAAAAAGAATGCCTGGTTTTGAACTGCAAGTCCAAATTTGTAGTAATATGATATTATTCAAGGTAATAAAATAAAACGATAAAAAAAAATAGAAGACATGAAATCCAAATAATGTTGGAACTTCAGGTTCTTAACATGATATATATTTTTCAGCCCAAAATCATAATACATATGCACTTGTTGAAATATCGATTTGGAAGTTGACGCAATTAGAACTTCAAGTTCTAGAATTTACCTATTTTAATGCACATATGGCCGAAACTTATAGTTTGAATTTGACATTGAACTTCGTGTCATATTAAGAACTTCAGGTCCTTAAATATAAATTATTGAAATGATCACAAATAATTGAATATAACATTACAAATAAAATAATAATTAAAATACTGTAATAAAATAAATTGTTGGAACTTCTGGTTCCAAGTTAGAGAAAAATCAAAGAACTCCAAGTCCTTGTATAGATATTATATGGATTGAGAACTAAGAGACTTCAAATCTTTAATTAATTATATAATATAGGGACTTCGGGTCCTTGCATAAAATAAAAATGAAACTAAAGAAAAGAACTAAGTAAAAATAAAATACAACAAAAATTAAAATATAGCAATAAAATAAATTGTTGAAACTTCTGGTTCCAATGAAGAATAAATCAAAGAGCTTCAAGTCTTCATTTGCCTTTTAAGAATTCGGGAACTTCAAGTACACAAATATTTATATTATAAGGATTGAAATCTAAGGATCTTCTAGCCCTTACATGATTGAATAAGAACTGAGGAACTTCTAGTCCTCCATTAATATTTATATTATAAGGATTGAAATCTAAGGATCTTCTGGTCCTTACATGACTGACTAAGAACTAAGGAAATTCTAGTTCTCCATTAATTGTATAAGAATTTAACATCTTCAAACCCTCTGTCAAATGAATAAGAGATGGGGTCAAGACTTCTCCTTGCATTTTTCTTTGTATTGTTGTCTATGCAGTCATAAGAATTAGATATTGTAATTCATATCACATTGTTAAGTGATAGAATACAAAATCTTGATTTTAACGAAAATCATGATTCTCTTACAAAAAAGAAAAAGAAAATATAATTTCAATACTTAGGTAAGATAAGAATATGCAAATCAACGTAGTAATAGAAATTCAGATAATAAACTTATCTATTTGGAATTCAATATTCATCTCGATTAGCTTTCTTCTCGTTACCACTGATCACGTACATAATTGACAAGCACATTGGTGCTTGAAGAGTAATCGTTCTGATAACGTATTATATAACTAAGGGAAAATTGTAGAGAGAATTGGAAAGTAGAGAAAGACAATAAAATTTGTGTCAATCAACTTGTATATCTCATCTTGATAAGACCTCTTATTTATAGGCTTACAGTGATAAGAAGACATTAACAACTCATAAATTACAAGCCCATAACTATGGTATTTAGTGTATATGTTACATAGAATTAGAAAGGGTGAATGCTAAGAGGTATGGTGGTCATCCACCAACTCATGCATTTACAACAGTTAACCCTTTTTTAAAACTATTTTTTAATAATTATTTTTAGTTATAGTGACTAACGAAAATGCCCTTACACTTAACGGAAATTTTAACTAAGTTAGACATAGGTGTTGGATTGCAACACTCTATAAAGTTCAGGTGTTTAAAAATAAAAATAAAAAGTTCAAGTGGTAATGGCGCACATGCCCAAAAGTTCAGGTGGTATTTATGCAAATTTCCCATATTTTTATTTTTATTTTTTGAGTACAAGAGATAGTCTAAACTAGAGGGGATGAGTATTTCTCTCTCTCTCTCTCTCTCTCTCTCACACACACACACACACACACACACACACACACACACACACAAATGATGCCATGGGGGTTCAAACCTGAAACCTCTTGTCTTCAAGTCAAGACCTTTTTCTACTGAACTAGACCCCGTTAGCATTTCTCATAAATTTATATGTATTGGAGTTTGGTAAAAAAAATTGGGAATTCTATATTGGCATATTGAAAGTTCTTTTTATAGGAGATTCACTATTATACCCAATATAGGAGTCCAAATTATAAAAATACCATATATGAAATTAACTTTAGAAACACACCCAAAGTCCATTTACAACAAAACAAAGAGGCTTTTAACTTCTTATAAATTACAAAACTACCATTAATTTCTTAAAACAAGCCCAACACCAAAACCTCATAAAAAAAACCCAAAATACTCAATAGGGTATCAAAGTAATTTAATAATCAAACTTAAATTCAATAGGACCAACTGTCATTTTTTGGGTTTTTTTGGGTTTGTTTATAGAAATTCAATGGTGTAGGGTTTATCTATATTATTAGTGCTAAGAATAGGTATATAACTAAATATCTTTTTTTTTTTAAAATTTTTCTTTGGGTCTAATAGGTGATTTTTATCTAAAAGGAAAAAAATCAGCCCAATTTTGAAGCAAGCCCAAACCCAAAGCGAAGCAACTAACCCAACAATCTTAGTTCTTCGATTCTAAAATTAAGTAAACTAAGTTGGTTTGTTCAGTTTTCAATTTGGGCTGAAAACCGAACCAACACAAACCATACCAAGTCCTAGTTGATGCCCTTGGTTGGATTTGGCCCAATGGGTCTGTTGTGGTGGCCTCACTTGTTCAATTTCCCCCCATGGCATGTTAACGTTGTGGCCTACACTTATAAGATAGTGATGGTGACTGAAAAATAAAAATCCACCATTTTCCATTTTCCATCTGCCTTGTCCTAAATCCTCCTTCAATTAGTGATAGTGATGTATGATATTTATTTTTCTGGTAAATTATGTGATATCATATTTTGCACCAAAGAAACGATACACAGTCCTTTCTCTTTCCATGGTTGTTGTAGCTTGAAATGAATGACCAATGCAACGGTCCAGATTGAAATCAGTCTACCAAACACAAGATCCCAAAATATTCACATAAACCAGGTAATCATGCAAGTGAAGTGAAACACACAATAGCAGAGCTCTTTAAAAAAAATCAAAAAAGTAGGTAGCCACCAGCACATGCAGAGAGAGAGGCATGCAGACTGCAATGGCTCTACAACCACAAGACAGAAGCTGGTGGGCTCTACAAATGTGCCCAATTGCCTTGATTTTGATATTGGAAAAAAAAAAAATCCAAATCCTTATCTCCTCCACAACACAAACACCACAAAACCTCTCACAGCTTCTTCAGCAACTCTGTCCACCAATTACTTTACTTGGCCAAGAAATTAATTTTATATCATACAAACAATCATCACTCCAATAATCTCTCTCTCTCTCTCTCTTCATTTCTACCTGTTGAAACTTTCTTGTTATTCCTAGACAGTCTTTCTCATATCTGCCCTAACTTTTGGTGAAGGGTTCTGGAGGTTTTTCCACAAATAAGCTGTTTCTGCTTTCTGGAAAAGCTGGCTGCTTGGATCACCTCTGGCATCTTCTGGCAGTTATACAAGTGTTCTCAGCTGTGGCTAGTTCTTGTTTGGTAAAGTAAAGAGTTGTGGGTTTTGTTGAATCTTCAAGGAAAGATCTCTCTGTGTCTCTCTGAGTGAGAAACATATAAGTTTGTGATTTTTTTTTTTTCTTTGGAAGTAACAGATCAAGCTTGGGCAGAAAGAAAGAGATCAAGAGGAAGATGAAAATTCAGTGTGATGTGTGCGAGAAGGCTCCGGCGACGGTGATTTGTTGCGCCGACGAGGCAGCTCTGTGCGCCAAATGTGATGTTGAAGTGCACGCAGCAAATAAGCTTGCAAGCAAGCATCAGAGGCTTCTTCTAAATTGCCTCTCCAGCAAGCTCCCTAGATGTGACATATGCCAAGTAATTAATTTCCACTTCCCACTTTCTTTGTATAAAATGTTATGTAATTTCCAATTTTCCTTTTCCATTTTTGTTGAGCTGAGTTTTTTTTTTTTTGGTTCAAAATTGTTGAGCTGAGTTTAACTTTACAAGTTCATTGTATTAATATGTGTACTTGTGATAAATGTAAAGGGTGAGCTAGATTGAGATAGGTCTTAAGGTTCAAACCTTTGCTAATAAAAAGGAATTTATATCTTAATTAGAGCTAATAATGTTAGAGTTGGAGCATCTAATGCAAAACTAAGCCTGAAACACTTGGATTAACTATATTGAGTGTCATGGAACACGTAAATGAATTACCCTCTCCAATACAATGTTAAAGTTGTAACATCCAACATGAGAGGTTCCAATTAAGATAAGGCTATTAGCTCTTTAGGCATGATTTTTGGTGACCCTACCATGGAGGACCTCATACATGAATAGTAGATGCTTTGAGCATTATAGGTTTCCTTTGTTTGAAAGTTAAAGTGAACTATAGGAAATGGTGGCAAGTTGAAAGAAGTTAACATTTCTTTTATATCAATAACGGATGGCACTTTACAAGGTTTGTAATACAAACTGCATGCGAGATATTTGGTGTGCGCTGGCGTCTCCACTAGATGTTGTATAACTAATAAGACTAATCAGGTGAGAAATAAGCAGATTCTACTGCTGCTGATTGTCACATTGTTGCGTTAGGGTATTCGTACAACCTTGCAAAGTGGGTGTGGTGTCTGAATTATTCTCACATTGTTGAAATTGGGTTTCACCTAGGTACCTGCCCAAAATGAGAGGTCTTCCTAGTTCCCTTTTTTTTTCGGTAAATGATAGAAAAACCTGAACCCCATAGAGACAACTGATGCATTAACACCTTTTAAAAATCACAAAGTGGTAAATATTGTTCATAGAAAAGAAGCAATATAAGAGAAAGTGTATTTTTCTAGAGACTAGGAAATGACTGAAAATCTCAGTGTTTGCAATGTGAGTCAGCTAATGCATGAACAGGTGTGCAGCCTTGTGACTTCTAAGAATGTGGCTACTTCAATTTTAATAATGGTTAATTGTTTGATTGATTCATAATCATGAATTTATTAATTGAATTGGAACATAAATGCCTCTTGAGCACAAATGGTACAAACTGTTTTTTTTTTCTTGGTTCAAGTCAGAGAAAAAATCTTATTGATGCATCGCCGGTAATTCAGGAAGTATCCTTCTGAAATTACTGGAGTAGAGTCTTAGGTTTACGGTAATTCAGGAAGTATTTATAATTTATGGTCTTTCTTCATATTTAAACATAACATAGTCCAGATTAGATAGAGATGCTTCCACAGCTTCCTTAAGATGAGCAGAATCAGGGAAAGAAAGGTGGATAGGTCCTTCAAATTATCATAGGAGCCCGCAAAACAAGACGACCTTCTTGAATTTTTTGAGCAACATTTTAGCTTGCCCTTTGGTTGATTTCTGCATTCTTGAAATCACCTTTCGTGGTCTCAACTACTAAGTGGACAACAAGAAACTCATCTAAGACTTCTTGAATGATAATTAAGTTTTCCTTTTCAATCTGTCGCAGCGTCACTGGATTCTGATGAGTTTGTAAACCTCTCTTAAACAATATCTCTCTCTCTCTCTTTCTCTTTCTCTCTCTCTCTCTCTCTCTCTCTCTCTCTCTCTCTCTCTCTCTCTCTCTCTCTCTCTCTCTCTCTCTCTCTCTCTCTCTCTCTCTCTCTCTCTCTCTCTCTCTCTCTCTCTCTCTCTCTCTCTCTCTCTCTCTCTCTCTCTCATGTCTTCTGATTGGCAGGATAAGGCAGCTTTTATATTCTGCGTTGAAGACAGAGCCCTCTTTTGTCAGGATTGTGATGAATCAATTCATTCAGCCAATAGCCTCTCTGCAAACCACCAGAGGTTCCTTGCCACTGGAATCCGAGTGGCATTGAGCTCCAGTTGTACTAAGGAAGCTGAAACAAGTAGCTTGGAGCCACCCGAGCGTAACACACAGCAGATTTCAACAAAAATTTCAGCACCACAGGCTTCTGGCGTCTCGTCACCTTGGGGCGTCGATGACTTACTGCGATTATCAGATTTTGAATCTTCTGACAAGGTTAGAAAGATCCCTATTACATTATCTAGCTTTACTCATCACAATTATTATTACTGTCTTTTCATGGAATGGAATGGTTTGAATGGAGAGCTTAGGGATGAAGTTGAAAGATGTACGCGAACTTGCCCTTTTTTCTGTAGAAAGGGTGGAGGAATGTAGATGTTTATCATTTTGTCTACGAAATGGATTGTGATAAGATAAATATCTAATTCATGCGAACTCGGTATATGAGACACAAATGTCTTGAACAATGTGGATAATGTATTTGGAAAAGTTTCGTTGATAATTGGGTGGCATATACTGCTATGTTAACTTTGAATTCTACTGTATGAAAGAAATATTCTAAAACTTATATATAACCTTTGATAGTAATGATAAGTTTTGAGTTTTTAAGACTAATTTTATAATGATTGTTCTAAATTGAGTTCATTTTTCTTTTCTGTCCTTGTTTTTTATTTGACCGTTCATCATGCACAACTTTATGAATTTCGATAATTAAAAAAGTCTGGGTTGCTTTTGCTGCTTAAAAGAAGGTAATATTGATACCTCTAATAGGTCTTGGTTTAGTTGGTTTAAGCAGTTCTTCGGTTAACACCTGATTAGAAGAAGATTATAAGTTTGATGCCAACATTGATGATAGGCCATTTACTTTTTCTTTCATCTATTCATATGCTTAACGAATCTTGTCTGTGCTCACTTCAGAAAGAGTCATTTGAGTTTGGAGAGCTTGAATGGATAGCAGATATGGGTCTTTTTGGTGAGCAGTTTCCTCAGGAGGCCGTGGCAGCAGCTGAAGTTCCTCAGCTTCCAGCATCACAGCCAAGCAATTTTGCCTCATATAGACCCCCAAAATCGAACGGCCCATACAAGAAGCCTAGGATTGAAATCTCAGAGGATGATGATGAGCATTTTACCGTTCCTGATCTTGGCATATTTTAGACGTGTATCAACTTGATGGTATTAGTTGATAGGTTGAATTATATATCTTCATACTAAGTACATACCCGTATGTATTTACGTACGTATCTAAGAATGTATAATGCATTTTGGGAGATTAGCTTTTTTCCGTTGTCTTTTTCATTTGACCCATAAAATAAACATATGTAATTTTGCCTCCTTGGCTACAAGACCATATGGCACAGATATAATACCAAGTGACAGCAGTAGTTGGTGTTTATGGGCCAGAAAACTCTTGAAATTTTCGGTCGCTTTCTTGGAGCTCTCTGGCTCTGCCTTTGATATTCTAGTTCCTGGTATGATTACTTCATTTCTATTGAAGGCAAAGTAGTGGTGGATGATTGCATTTACCTTGCCTCAAATCTTAGGAAATTACCACGTGGCTTTTGGGCTATAATTGGCCCATTGCATCTTCTTGGGAATCTTGTATATGTTTTTAAATCAGCATAATTGTAGCAATGGTCCTGGACTAAGGCCCAACTTTACTTTTCGTCTCCCATATTGCTAAATTGTTATGGTGGTATTTTAATTATGCCTCCAGTTTTAGAAACCGTCATTTCCGTCATCTCATTCAACTTTTCCGTTAAATTTGAAGTCATATTTGTCTTTTCAAGTGTTGGATTGAACAGAGGCATCTCCATATCAGCAACCTTTCAAATTTATGGCGCTAAACTTGAATCCTAATACCATTTCAGCAATTTCTATTAATATTAGGGCATCTGGCGAAAAAAAATTACAAAGGGAGAGGATAAAGGAGATGTCGCAGAGTTCGGGGAGCTGTAATACATGGAAGCTTTGCGATTGTGGGGGAGCTATTAAAAGATGGACTTCATGGACATATTCGAATCATGGGAGAAGATTTGAGGCTTGTGAGAATAATCGGGAAAGTCACTTTGTCTGGAATTTTGTGTTTTTTGGTCCATGGGTTTTAGATCTAACCCTGGATATGGAAAATTCTTCAAAAGAACAAAGGCAAAGCTCATTATTAGGTGTGGGTGGACGAAGAGATATGCCCACAAGGAAAGGAAGTTCTTCCTGGGTTGCTAAGAAGAATGAGAGGTATGGAGCAGGAACTGAATTAAATAGAAGAAGATAATGAAGGACTGAAAGATAAGCTCAAAGCAATTGAGCAAGAAAACAAGGAATTGACAGCAACAATTGGAAGACTGGGAAGACAGAAAATGAAAATGGATGAGAAAATTATGGTGTATCAACATAGAGGGAAACTAATGTGGGTGGGTCTATTTGTGACATGGGTTCTTGGGGTCATGGTTGCAATGATGATGATTAAGATCCTAAATTTGTCTAAAAAAATTCCAAAGAATTTGATGATCAAATAGTGAAATATGTAATGAGTTTGGTACATTTGTGCCATTTGTGCCATTGTAATGTGTAAGTGTATAATAACATCACTTAAGAGATAATTTGACAATTGCATAACTTGAATCCAAAGTTTACATGAGTTCCAATGTCTAGCCTTGGATAGCAAAAGATGGTTCCAAAACCTAACCCAAACATCAAACCTAACCAGCAAAACACCAAATTGTTCAAAACATCACTTTCAAATTCCTACCTAACCAAAAACTCAAGCAATTACACACCATGATGTTTGGCCAAATTTTGTCTGCATTTAGGAACATAATCATGTCTCCAAAGTCTAGCCCTCTTTGTAGGAGATTTAAATCTGATACCGTGGCTTGAAACTAGCTGAGGTGAAGATTGGCCAATTTTTGGTGGTCTAATCCTCTTTGCAGGAGGTTTGAATCTTCTATGTTGGCTTGAAGCTAGCTGAGGTGAAGATTGGCTAGTGTTTGGTGGTCTTAAAATTGGCTAAGATGATGATTGCACAATGTTTGGTGGTGTTGAAAAGGATGAATCTCTATTGTTTAGGAGGGGCTATGAAGCAACTGGTGTTTTCCCTTTGTCATTCCCATCTCTGACCTTCAACAACATATAGCAAAAGTTTAGGAACATAATTTGAACACATGAACTTATACAATAGTCAATAAGATGTCACACTTACTGATGAAGAGCTAGGCTGTTTGCCCCTTCCTCTACCACCACCCCTTATTGCACCTCTATGTACACACATTCCTCTGCCTCTTGCAGGCCTGCTTGGCTCATTAGATTGGTCCTACAATGAAAAAAACTTGGTGTTAGTTATTGGGCCCAATACATAATGTATAGTAACCCTAATACATAAAGCTACCTCAAATACCTCAGTTACCCTTTGGTTGCTAGAATTGGCAGCACCTCCTTGTTTAAAGTGTCCTTCTTTATTGTGTCATTCCTGGCCACAAATAGAACACCTGATCTTGATGAAAACCCTTCTCAATTTTGCAGGGGGTGGAATGTAATTAGGTGGTCTAGGATTTGGAGGGATTGGAGCAGGTACTTCAACCTCAGAAGCCTCTTTGTTTCTTGATTTCTTTGGTCTTCCAGGCTGGGTCTTGTAAGGAGGAGGTCTAATTGGAGGCAAATTTGTCTTCTTCTATTGATCCATGGATGGCACAAGGTGGATCATATGAGGAAAGGTAAGTAGTTTGGCTATAACACTCATGTGCATAGTCATACACATTTTCTTGTCTGTGGAAAATGCAAGAAATTGCATGTGAGCATGGGATCCCACACAAATCCCATCGTCTGCAAGAGCAAGTCTTTGCTTTAGATCCACAACAAACTCACCCCCATACATATGAGACACTTGGTATTTCTTCTCACCTGCTAGCCTGGGAATACATTGATGTGCTCCCTTCTTGTTATTCTCAATGATCTTCACTACTCTAGGCCCAACAGGATGTCTCCAAACCCTACCAGCAATTCTTCTTTCACACATCCTCAACATCACATAAGTTCTAATTCTTTCAAGGCAAGTTAAGATGGCCTTGTCTCTTGCGTCTAGTATGCAAGAGTTGAATGTCTCATAGAGATTGTTCAATAAGATGTCACACTTACAGTGTTCATCTAAATGAGATATGCTCCAATTCTTTGGTGGCGTTTTTAAGAGCCACTTGTAAGCTTCATTATCTTGCACCTTCATCTTCTCCATCTCTGCTTCATACCATGGAACATTGGTGGCCCTTGTTGCTGACCACTATATGTTCTTTAAAAGGAGCCCAGAATGTTGCCCTCTGAAATTGCTATAAAGGTGCCTCACACACATTCTATGCTCAGCTATAGGCACAACTGTTTCAATAGCTGAAAGTAGACCCTTTTGCTTGTTACTTATTGTTGGAATTTTAAAAGGTTATAAAAATTTAACTTTTTTTATTTTTTTTATTTTGGCTATTTTATTTTATTTATTGTGGGGGTTATAAATATTTAATATTCAAGTTTTATTTCTATATTGAATGCCTTAATTTTGTGGTTGGTGAAAGTTACATGTTCTTGGATGCCTATAAAAGGCCACTCGTCCTTCACATTTGAACAAACACACAACACCATCAAAATATCACATACCACAATCACCACCACAATATGATTCTCTCTTTTTCTACTTTTGTATTTTCTCTACTTATATTATTATTTTGGGCAATGGTTATATGACTTGGATACCTATATCCGTCTATGAACGTGCTCATAGCGGATCTTAAGTTTGTGTACAAGAGGTCGTATCTTGGAGTCTTGTAGACCGCCAGTACCTGCACGTAGGGGGGCTACAAAGGCTTTAGGACAGCGTCTTTGACGTGCTTCACTGTACCAAACTCACCTTCTTACTTATTATTTATTTTGCTTTTACTTACCTATTATTTTGTTTTCTTAAATTTCATTGTACCTTAAAAGCTTTCCAATTTGTTTATAAGTTATTTATAATATAAATGTTTTTGTATTTGGCTTTACGGAAAAGGAAAACTATATTTTTTATAACAATCTAAAGCCTTTGTACCTTAAAATTATTTTTTTTCCGTACTGCTGTAATTCTTTGTAGTTTACAATTGTTACAATTGCATATCTATATTTATGTAAGCTCTTGACATCAATATGTTTGTTCATGTTAAAATCTATTTAATTTTATTTATTAAAGGCATTTGGTAAAAGGCGTGTCGGTTTCAAATTGCTAGCGTGATTATTTGAATTTTATATTTAAACAACCAAACAAGTTCCTAGCCTTTTGTCAAAGAACCGTTTATCCATGAGTTTCAGAGTTCTATCCAAATATTTTTATTATTATTAGTTTGTTGGTTAAACATAATTATTGGTTTGTATAATTTTGAGGAAAAATTGTTTTTTTTGTTGCATCTTTGTCGTGCAGTGGTATATATATTGCAAAGTTCGTTGTGTACATTTGAAACCATATATATTGTACAGATCGTTTTGTTGTTTGAGATATTTTAATTGCTAACTTTATTTCAATAGCGTTAATATATTAATGTTCTAATCATATTATTGTTGATTTTGGATATCAATTATCTTTGGTTTTGGAAAATGGATCAAATTACGTTATGTGTGGTGTCTTTCAAGTATTTGATATAAATATACATATATTGCACTAACGATTGTGTTCAAGGTTTATCTTATTTATAGGAATAGAGATTTGTGTGGTTTTCAAGTGGGAGTTATAATGGAATTGATATATCAGAGGTCCAATATCATATACCGCAAGTTAAGTGCTACCAACTGTAGGGGTCTTTTTGTTCCAGCAGCCTGACGAATGGGCTTGGGCTGCCGTAAGAGGAAGACAAACAAAATTCCCCAATGCATGAGTTCAAGAACCAGGCTCCCAAAAGGGTTTTAAAAGGCTTGCTAAAACCTTAGAAAAAACACTTTTAGGTTCCTTTCACCAATAACCGAATGAACGTGACAAATTGATAAGGGACTTGGCTTGAGGAGCTTGTGGCATGGGAGCTGAGCCTTCACAAGTTTAGCAATTTGAGAGAGAGATAAAAGCATGAATTTCTTTAAGAAGGAACAGGTTTAGAGTGGAAGAAGGAAAATTCGGAAGGTTTCTACCTCAGAAAGAGAGGAAAGAAAAAACGATGGAAATAAGAGGTGGAGTGTCTAGAGTAAATTCCAGCTTGCTTGACAAAGCTTGGTCGTGCTCTGGAATGGTGTGTTTTTTTGGATAGAGGAAGCTCTCTTTTATAGGCATTCGGAACCCTAATTCCATCAATCCCCCATTCCCACTTTTCCTTTGCTTTTTTCCATTCACTCTCTTTTGGTGAAATTTCTCCAACCAGCATGTATGGGTCACAGGCTCTTTGGGGTTCCAAGGTCCTTT